ATGATGGGGAAACTGGCCAGCTCCTGGGGCAAGGGCAATTCTCAAAGACTGAAATCTGAAGGGAAGGAGGTTGCTCAAAGCCAACCCCTTTCACTCTCTGGCAGAGTGGCTGAGGGCACTGGAGAAAAGCTGTAAAAAAACTAAGCCTGGCGTCAGTCAGCGGGAGGCCCAGCCCCAGTCCTGGTGCCTGAGGAAGTTCAGCTTGAATCGGAAGTGTGTGCACTTACTTTTTTTCCCTCCAAGGATCAACCCCCAACCGGATGATGTTGCCACCTGGACTGTGTCTCCCGGATCTGGTGGCAGCTGCCTATTTCCGTCCTGGGACGAGGGTGGAAGCCACTTAACCATCAGTTTCTGTGACCCACGTCCCAGTCTTAAGAGCAAGCATAACCTCCACGCTGCACCTGACACCAGGCCCCGAGATCCTGTCATCTGTCAGCTCAGAGAACTCAGCATCGCTCCTGTTTTACCTCCTGCCCTTCCAGCTCCAACTGCCACTGATTTAAGTGACTGGATTCATCAGAATCCTAAACCACCCCAAAAGGCCTGGTCTCGTTTTAGTGAGGAGGAAACTGGCCGCAAGAGCTTGAGGACTCCTCACCCAAAGCTCCAAAAAGGCAGACCCCAGGCCTCAAGTTAGTCTGCCAACCTCCTTGTCCCCTCATCCCAGGCTCCTGTATCCAGCAGGTGCTATTCAAATACCTCCCAGCACATGTTCCAAGGCGTCTGGGCACAGCGTGCATTTACTTCTCAGCTTCTGTGAACACAGAGTGCAGAGTGGGAGAGGAGGAAATGGGTGAGTCTGTCTGGAAAAGATCCTTCTGGAAACAGGTGGCAGTGAGGGGGGTGGCCTTCCTGCCAGAGGCCCTCTTCCAGAAGCTGGGTCTGGCACAGTGCTGATTAAAGAGGAGCGTTCCTTCCAAGGCTGCACCCCCTCCCCCACTTTCCTCAGCTGACCTGCTCCTACCAGCAGCCAAGGAAGCTTATGTAATTTGAAATTCCCATCTTACTTTCAAAGTGTTATTTACTTACCCCACTCCTAAAATACTTAGATTAACACGGAGATCAAAGGTGTGTTCTTCAGGTAATTTGAAATTCCCACTTTATTTTGAGAGTATGTTTATTTACACAATTCAGAGGTTTGGATTAACATTGAGGTCAGAGGGAAAGAATCCTTTCGTGGTGCAAATTTCTGCATAGAGCAAGCGGGGGTGGGGTACATGAACAGATCAAGGAGTGGGTTCAAATGTCAGCTACACACACTCCTCAGGATGGACACCTCAGGCGACAGTGGATGTGTCTGTGGTGCTTCCGGCCTCTCCTTCTCCCCTAGATGATACAAACCCGGGTGGAACCACATCCCAGGGCAGGTCCGTTGCATCCCCAGACCAAAAAGGGATCGAGATGTAGGCAAGCTAAAAACCTACACAGTTCGCAGTTCGAGATGAAAGGCTGCAGAAATGTTTATTGAATACAGTGCCAGGTTTATAAATAAAACTTATTTACAATTTCCATAGAGTTGGTCCCCCATCAGAGAGGTGGTTGTATCTCCAAACAGTTCATCTCAGGATTTACAGAAACGTTCGAGTTCATCTCCTGCTCAAAGAGCCATGGTGAAGGCGGCTTCAGAAACAAAGGGCAGCCACCATCTCTGCTACAGAAGTGTTTCATGAACATTGCCAGTGATTTGGAGAAAGAACGCACACTCCACCCACACCACTACACCTTCTTACTCCAGGGGTACAGACAAGACAGACAGCAAAGAATCTGTCTCCTACATGACAACTTCAAGGGATAAAAAATTAGAAACTGCCGGCTGGAGAGAGTAAGACACATCAGTGGAGTCTATTCACTGTCATGGGGTAACTGTTCTTAGAATATACAATAAATAATTGAGTATTTTGAAGGAACTGGATGAGCGAAGAACGGTTGTGACCAAATTTACATTCTGTGGTTAGGATGGCGTTGCCGGTATGCTGAGGGCTGATGGTACACTATTCCTGATGCTGGCCCAGCAGAGCGCCAAGCCAACTGGACAGCCACTCATTACAATATCGGTACAAGTACAATCAGACATGCGTTTATAAAGAGAATATAAAAATATGTACAAGAACTAATTTCCAATGCATTTTTAAGTTGCCAAAAGATACCAACTAAAGTGTGCCAAAAACCCATGTGTCCAAAAAAAAAAAAAAAAGGAATCAGAAAAAGCAGACCTTGGCAACGGGGCGTTGCAAACCCATCTGAAATCTCAAGATTACATCTGCCCTGCTCAACACCTACCCCAAACAGATGGAGAACAAACTAGGAAAGAGTTAGCCAAATACTCAACAGGGCTGTTGTATGGCGAGTCTCAGGTTGAAGCGGAATGCCAGTTAAACCAGTCATTTTAGATATATAAATATATGTATATATTTATAGAGCAGTTAGAAGCAGAGGCCAGAGTTGACAGGAAGGTGCGAAAGAAGTCGCTAACCATTAGCAGGTACTGCCCCAACATCAAGCTACTTCCCTTTTTAAAAATCTGGTGCAGACTGTACACACCCAGCCCCCCTGGGCTGCTCGCCTCCGGCCCCGGGGCGGGGGGGGGGGGGGGGGGAAAAAGGGGGGAGAGAGAGAGAGGGAGGGGGGTGGGAGAGGCTGTGAGGGACCCCACCTCACCTCACCTCTGCACCAAACTGCAAGTCGAAAGTTCCCTGGGGAAAGGTCTCGGGTTCTCAACTCAGTCCTTGGGACAGGCTGTTGGACCAGAGTCCACACAGCTTCTGCAGAAACTTCCTTAAATTTAACCCATCTGTGGCCCCTCCACCTCAGAAACTGCTAAGGTCCATGACCACTGGCCTGTATCACCAGCCCAACTAGAAAGACCCCCAGGTTGTAAACGAAAAGGCCACCTTGCTGTCATCCTGGGAGCTCAATGATCATCTCACTGTTGGGTAAAACCACCATGATATTCTGGTGTTCCTACAGACCAAGGCAAGCATGAAGGCCAGCCCTCCCTTAGCTCCACCTTTGTCCTCCCCTGACAACTGCCCAGCTCAAGAACCAGTAGCAGCAGCAGCAGCAGCTGGGTGCCCCCCTCCACTGCTCTGACCCGTCCCCCTGGCAGAAAATCTAACAAGCTGCGAAAATGCCAGAAAAACAGGGAGTAGGAGAGGGAGAAACCGGCGGCTTGAGAATCAGCTCTGAACGCATCCAGCCGGCTGCTGAGCTCACTGCCTCCAAGCCGACTGCCACTGTTCCTGGTGCATCAAAGCCACCCACAGACATGCACAACCCCAACTTCCTTGCTAAGATGCAACCCGGTGACGCTCAAGTGAAACACACGGCCAGTACCCACTCAAAAAACTGGGTGTTTAAGGGGGCTTCTTCACAGGCCAATTACACCACAAAGACCAGTACTGTCTTCTGGTTTATGTCAAAGGCTCAAGACACAAAGTTCACTCTGGGCTTGGCTCACTCAAGCTGAAGGCTAGCACTAGTTCTACTTGGGAAGGGGGAAAATGCAGAGTCCAGTTAGAAATAAAAAAATGCAAAAGGTTAAGAAGTCATCATAAACCAGAACCCATGACTCAAAAGCTGGCTGACTGGTGGGGGCCTTTAGGCATATCAAGAGACTGGCTTAGCCAAGTGACTACTGCACCTACCACACACAGCGAGGACTGAGTTAGACACACTAAATCATGTCTCTTGCACAGATGGTCTGGAGTAGATACATTAAACAGGTAATCAGCACAGGACTAAGAACCCCTAATACACTTGTGTGAGACAAAGTACATCTTCCTTCAAAAAGCTCTCCACAGGTCACCTCCCTTGCCCGCCCTCAGTCACACTACTAGACCTCCATGTGCCATAGGAATAGGTCGTCAGGATCTGCTTGGTTTCAGGCACGACTGAGGCTTGATGGAGGCTCCTTTGGTGGAGGGCAGCCCCATGCCATGCCGTGGACATTTTAACTACACTGCCATGCCCTTCACTTGCCTCGCCCCGGCTTAGCTCTCAGCTTTACAAAGTATTTAACACCACTTTAAGTTAATGGTCTTTTATTGGAAAACAAAACAAAAAAAACCCCAAAAACAACAACTAGCATTTACAACTTGGAATGGACGTGAATCGTTAATTTCTTGAACAGCAACGGTGACGGGTGTGCTGAAGGCCTCCTCTGCCAGCTCCAAGTCACAGATCAAGGGTTTTTAAAACAGAGTCCAAAGAGGCTCTCTTGGTAAAAGGTTTCTTTTTTAAAAAAAAACAAACCCAACTTTTTGTGTGGACAGTGGCAGCCTGACCCCCCCCCATCTCACTCTAGCACAATGTCGACACTAAGCCAGCACACGCGGGCAGGCATACCACCAGGGTGTGTCAGTCATCACGGGGCAGCACACGGCAGGGTACCAGGACTGTCCTACCAGTGGGGCCCCGTCTCACCCGGCTCTCTATCCTCCATCCACGTCCCACGTCATCCGGAGGCAAACCAATTTCAAATGTGTTTTGTTTTCGGTTAACCA